GACAAGACGAAAAATTCACCCAGGTCTCCTGAATGCCAGTCTAGTGCTTTAACCACCGGGGTATCTGTCCTTGCACAAGTAAAAGATTAGGCCCTAGCCTAATCAAACCAAATTGTTCCAGTAACTGAACTGGTGTCAATGCAGATGTGCCCAAAGAAGAGCTGGAGGTGTTTTCTTCTTCTTTTGTAGTTGCTGTGTTTGTAGTTCAGCTGAGCGTGTGGTTCTGGGAGGAGCAGACCCAGATGTTAGACAGCTCTTCAGATTCTGCCTAAGCTCATTTCTTTCAGTAATGCTTTATACTGCTTTATACAATAGGACAGTTCTTACATCTCCACTGGAACCCTGTAACAGGACTACATTTCACTTAAATGGGAATGAAATTTAAAAGCTGCCACACAGCCACAGAGCACTGCATGGACGGCAGCCCTGTGATGTGAGACACAAGCAGAGAGGGAAAGGGAAAGTCCAGTTGTAGTCAACATACAACTCTTACTTGGCTTGACTTTGCTTGGTTGCTGCTGGAAAGATTTTAGAGATTACATGGAAGACCAGTAATATAATTTGTCTTTCTGCTGTACAGATTATGCCTGAGGGAGGAGGTGGGAAATGCTTTGGAGACACAAGGGGGAAGTGACTATTACAGTTCATTCCTGAAAGGCACTACAGACCTTCTGACTACCATAATACCTTTTTTTATGAAGAAAGTGTGGTGGCCAGCAGAGAGGATGGCTGCAGTTTCAGACAGGTTCCCTGGGCTATTCTCAGGCAAGATGTGAAGCCACTGAGTTACTATCGGGATTACTCTATTCTTAGTATCACAGCGTGTGTTCACTCCCCACATGCCACCACCTAAATATAGTCCATACTGAAGAACAGATGCTGCCAAATTGCATCTGACCCCTTCTCCCTTGCATTCTGTTCCCAAAAGCTAGGCTGAATTCACCCGAGACACATCCAATAGCCAGGGCGTCCTTTTGTGTCTTCAGGGCTACACTAAGAGAATTCTTCTCTAGCCAGATCATCATCCTAGTCTTCTTGGCCTAGCACTGGTCTTCCCTTCAACACCTTTTCTTCTTGCCTGTATTTTTCATTTGCTGCATTCACTCTTTTCATTTTTGTCTCAGCTGCTTCTGTCCTTTCTCTCCCACCTGATTCAATATGATCAATTAGAGGAACAGGGCAATGTAACAAAGGAAAAGAGGAAATGTACATGCACATACGTAGGCCCTGTAGACAACTAAACCGCTCTGGTGAGAGCTGTTTTATCACAACAGAAGTCTCCGGTGTGAATGCAGTGAGAGGGACAATTTTCTATGTGCAAATGTGTTTCATTAAGTTGTATTTCCAGTATTCCACTGATTTATATTTCCAGTAGCATAAATCAGTAAGGCTCTGATATTGAGATTCCATAAATGAAGCTGTAATCACAGAATAATGGAATTATTTGGGTTGGAAAGGAACCTTAAAATTTACGTAGTTCCAACCCCACTGCCACGGGCACAGATAATGTCTGCTAGACCAGGTTGTTAAAAGCCCATCCGACCTGTCCTCGAACACATCCAGGGATAGAGCATCCATAGCTTTTCTGGGCAATCTAGTCCAGAGCTTCATGACCCTCATAATAAAGAATTTCTTCCTGAGATTTAAATGTATCCTTCTTCAGTATTTCTCCATCATGAACCAAGGTGTACTGTGGGGAGGGAGGTTTCTACAGAGACAAGGAGTCAAAGGTATAACAGATAAGTAGTTACAAGACAATTTGTGAGGTCTTCCCCTCCAAAGGGAGAGGTCAGTCCTTGCCAGAGATCAGAAAGTGCAGCTCCGTAGAGCTACTCCAGGCCACTTCTCAGAGATCCTTACTGCTGCCTCTGGCTTGCACAAGAAAGTGTTCAGGGATCTGCTTCACAAAGCAGAGGGGATTTCTCTTTGAGATGCCACTTGTCCCATCCTTCTAGAAGGATTCTTTTCCCCTCCTCTCCCATACCGTTCAGAAGAGCTGCTGGGTGGCACATCCTTTCTTCCTGCGGCCTGCACAAGCAGCTCCTGTCAGCGGCACTCGCTGAGGCTGCCGGGCGCCCAGGAGAGGGCACCTTCTGGACATAGGGAGCAAGTAGTGAGTCTGAGGGCAGTCTGACCTTCAGGGCGGGCAGTGAGCCTGGCTGGCGGCATGGGCTCCCAGCCTGGCCTAGTGCCTCGAGGACTCGGTGCTGCCCTCCCTGAGAGCGAGATGTGCAGGCTGCAGGGTGTTGTTGTTCAAGGTCTGCATAGCTCTGTGCTGGCAGTCACACGCTAACTGGCAGGCTGATGCTGCTCTCTGTCCCCTGGCTCCGGCAGACTGCACCCTGCTGACAAGGTCCCATCCTTTCTGTACTGCATGCTGTCGGCCTCCTCACTCTGCAGATTCCTCTTCTGCCTTTCTCCTCTCCAGCAAATGCAGTGGGGGTAGGAGTTGTCATTATGAAGCTGTAAATGGTTGGTTTCCCTCTGCCTTTGGGAAGCAGATCTGTAAAATTCCAAGGGAAGATTTACAAACCTGTGGAAGACTGACAGCCAGGAATGTTTACATGCTACTTCAGACTCTGCAGGTCCTGGGCTTGCCACTGGTCCTGTTTTCCCAAGAAGGAATGGAGAGAGGCAGAAATCTCCTGAGTTTCAGGGCTAGCTTGCAGCTCCCACAGCAGCCCTGAAGTAACCACAGTTACTTTTGCACATGAGCCCTCTGCTGCCCTGGTAAGTTCTGACCACAGAGCAAGCCAGAATCACTGGGCTGGCACCTCTGCTTGCCACAAAATGAATGGGTTGCCTGCTGGCATTGCTCAACCTACACAGGACAGCACATGTCCCAGCAGCCTACTCTGAGCTAAAGGTGCTTGAGGGGGCAGCAGGAGGCTGCCTGCCTGGGAATGCCAAGTGGTTCTCTGCAGGTTCCAGCAGGGCCCAAGGGTTCACAGAAAGCTCATGAGCCTCTCGTATGGGTGGTCACCAGCCCAGAGCCAGCTGGCTTCAGTGTGCATGGAGGAGTACTACGGGATGTAAAGAATGCTCTCAGAACCTCCAGACAACATTTAACCCTTTCGTTGTTCCATAACTGAGAGACATACTCAGTAAGTGTGTTCTTATGCAGAACACAAAGCACTTGGCTGTGGAGCAGCAGCTGTCCTTTTGAGTAATACCAATGAGATACCTTTGGTCACCCTCCCTACAGCCCTAACACTAACCCTCTGCATTAGCTGCTGTCGCAGTAGGCAGCACTGGAAAACACGTCTGCTATCTCTTCTTAGTTAACAGCTGCACTTTGAGGGAGTATCAGGAAGCAATATTTGTACTGTAACAGCAGAAATGTAGTTCTTCAGCATTGCAGACCCACATGTTCTCATTCCTAGTTTATATTAACAAGAAGAGAGATAAAAGGCTAAGATGACAGAAGTTGATGGCTGTGGCAGCTGGGATGAGCGAATCCCTATTTTAAGCATGCAGACAAAATTTGGGGTCAAGCTGGAGAGGCTACAGAGGGATAAAGTGCCAGTGAACATACAAACAACTCAGAGCATAGGGCCCCTCTTGCTATCTTCTTAACACTTCTCAGTCCTGCTGACAGGCTGACCTACAGGCAGTACTGCTCTTGCCTCTTGACATGGGTGGGCAGGGCTAAGCCTGGTCACATGCTGATTATGCAGAGCCTTCGGTTCAGACCAGCCAGCCATGCCGAGGGATGTCCTCAGGGCTTTAGCTCTCTTCTGCCCCGTGAGGGAATGACAGTAGAGTAGCAATCCTCTCACATCTCCTTCCATGGTAGTGAGGGCGGAGAAGCTTGTAGAATTCCACGCAGACTCCCAAAGCATTTTGTCTGAGTCCAGTTGCTTGAGCTGCAAGGCTGTAAGGTGTGGGAGAAGGTGCCTGGCAGTGCATTACATCTCTGCAGGAATCTGTCTCACTTCTTTCACTGAATCTTCTGTCAAACAACTCTGCACAGATTTGTTTCTCACGTAACTGCAAGATCTGAAGAAAACATATAGAAGCATTTATAAATCTAGCATATTTCATCCTGATTTACTCTTATGCAGTGTTTTTGTCTGGCTATTTTTGCATGTGCAAACTAAGTGCATTATGAGTGCCAAGCTGTCCTATAAGAAGGTTGTCACACTGCTGATCTACATGAGAGGTCTGTGTTTTTGAGCTCAGTGGACACTTGGTTTGCTTGCTAGCCCCAGCAGGAACCCTAGACTGTGTTGGGGGTTTCAGTGAGAAGTTCAACACATGTCATGGAACAGAAGAAAGAGTAAATGCATGATGTGTAATGGCTACAAGAGGCCAGACTGGGTGCTAGTCTGACTCTAGAGCTTCAAACTCCATTTTCAGATATGGCAATGCATATCCTGCACAACTCCTGTTAAGGCTAAAGATTTACTCCAAGTTTACACTTGTGTAACAGGACACCATGTGGCCTGATACAGATATCCAGAAATATTTTGGCCAAAGCCACTCGAGCAGGAATTCTTGATGGCAGGAAGTGCCAGAGGGCCCCCAACTCCTCCCATTCCCAGCATCCCCAAGGACGGCATCCACAGGGACTCTGTGTGCATGTCATGGGTCACACCACAGAAGCACAGTCGTGGGTACAGCTGGGAATCCTGACACACAGCCATGTATAGGGAGAGTCTGGAATAAGCTCCCGTTCCTTCTCTGAAACACAGGCAACTTAGGAAACAGGGCATGAGAGATCAAGAGCAAGGTACTCCAGAGTTTTAAATTTGCAGTGAAGGACTCAGACTAGGTTGGTGTTCAGGTCCAGCCTATGCTGGATCAGGGAATACAGAAACAGAAGGGCATAGGCAACGTGGTCTTCCTTCAACTTGGCAGCACAGTTGTCTTTAGGCCTTATTTTATTCTTTCAGAGAGAGAGCAATAGAAACGCCAGCAGGAGATGAGCAACTGAACTAAATGGCTGCTATTCTTCCTTTCATCCCTATTCTTTCTCTCTCTTTTTTTTTTTTTTCCAGATCCGAAAGCGAAGCAAAGCATGCCGTGGAGGCCTCTGGGAAAATGATGTGCTGGTATCTATCAATGGGAAGTCATGTGCTGGCCTCTCCCATGCTTCTGCCATGCAGATCATCGACTCATCCAATGGCATGCTCAATATCCGAGTGAAAAGGTAAGCTGTTTCCAAACACCAGGACTGTGACAGTGCAGGCAGCAGAGCAGCTTCATCCAGCACAGCAGTTCTTCACATCCAGCAGGAGGAAGGCAAGCAGGGAGCCTTTAGTTTCTCTATACTATGAAGTGTACTAAGAGGAGATTCCCATAGCTAACACGGCCATCCAAAAGTTCAGCACTGTCTCTATGCTGCTCTCCAAGAACCTAGTACTGGTGCTGAACAGACTCCATACCTTTATGCTCTGCCCCCTCCAGCTGGAAGAAAATGTTTGCAATGTAAGAAATATGCTGTTAAAAATGAACAATATAGTTTCCAAACAAACAGTTGACATAGGGCAGTTTACCTCAGGAATTAACAGTCTCCAGTTCATTCTGGGTAAAAAACTCTTCAGTAGAAATGGATTTGACTATATATTGGATAACCGAGCCACCAGAAAGTCGCACAAAGGTTACCTGGATATTTACTACAGCAGGCCACTGTATTCCAATATGATATGAACTGACTTCTACAAAGAAGTGGGTAGGGGAGTCCTTTTTCTGGGAAGATGTATCTCTGCTGAGCTCTCCAGCAGAATGTTAGAAACAAGGATCAAATTTTAGGCATACAAACGATCCCAGTAACTTTGCTGTTTCTACCTTTGTGAAAGCAAGCCCAGTGCTTCACAGCATGTTAGATGAGGGCCAAGCTGTAAATCAGTCAGGTAAAGACGAAGGCAGCAAAGCTGTGTGAGGACCTAACTAGTTCACACTACCACCGAAACAGAAGCTGCCCTCAGAAAATAAGACCCTGGTGAAGGGATCTGGGAGATGTAATTCTCTGTAGCCCTCAGAAGACAGAGCACTGTGAGCAAAGGGAAGGGAGAGCCACCCTGCTTACTGGCATCTGTACACCGGGGGCCAAGGAGAGCAGTGCTCTGAGAAGGAAGGAAAGCAGGAGCATGTAGGCTACTTCCCTTGGCTACAGGGGAGGTGCCGGTGCCTTCTGATGTGCTCACTCTGTCAGCCAACTGTGATGAATTGGGATGAGTGAGCCCTGAACAGGGTGGCCAGAATAGCGCCTGGTCCCTAGCCAAGGCCTTATCTCACCCCTTTGGAGCCCATCTGCAGCCAACAGGTGCCTAGGCAAATTCTTTGGGCCAAAATCAGCACACTTTGAATTAGCAAAGTGACAGGCTTCTCACAGGATGCATGGATCAGCCCTCTGGGAGCCAATATTGGATGGATTGAGAATAACGTAACCAGTGAATAAAGTTGGCTTCATTTTGGTGTAGCAGAGAACTCATCAAATATTGCTTTCTCAACACATCTTTATTAACACTTCATATCTGTATTCCCAGGGACAACACCAATCAGTTGCTTTCAGAGAGGACAGGTAGCTGGAAGACTGCAGTATGCAAGGTCATATATGCATTTCTGCTGGGGAATGTTTGTAAAGAGACAGGAGAAAGAGGCCTGAATGGATAGTGCAGAACAACAGAAAATAGCTTATAAGCAGCAATGATTTTCAGTTATCTGTTTATGTATTTAAAGAAAAGAAAGAACATTTCTGTTTTGCCTGAGGAGCTTTGCATTTTCTCCCCAGTAGGAATTCATACTATAAATATTATTAAAATAAATAAACTGTCAGGAGAATTGCCCACAGTTAGCTTCCACCAAGGTTTGACATGAATATAAATTTTTCACTGTTCAGAGGCTGGATAACAATTGATATCATGAACCCACAGCTTTACAGAGGCATTGTTGTCTGCCTACCTTCCCAGTAAGCATGCTCAGAAGGCTCCTTTATAATTCTAATGAATCCTCATGACTCTGGCAAGGGGAAGAAGTTCCCCAGCCCAGCTGTGTGGTTCAGAATCAAACTGATTTTGAGCGTTTAAGACTTGGTTTCCAAAGAGGTCATGAAGCAGAAACTCGGGATGAAAGCACACAGCTGATGTCAGAGATGAGTCTTCCCTTAGTGTCTGTACTGTGTGCACTGTAGATATCTGTCCCACAGAAAAGACACCTGAAACACCAGCTCAGCCTCTGTCCTTCCCTGTCCAGGGGGCTCCCTCCTCACATGCAGTTTCCTTCCAGCTCCCCTCACCAACCAGACCTCACTCACTGCTTTTCCTTCTCCCCGCAGGACAGTTGGTGGGGACCAGACTGGCCCGCGGCTTCAGCGCTCCCCTTCCCCAGGGCAGCGAGTGCTCTCCCCACCATCCGCACTCAGCCCCACGGCACAGCTCCTGAGCTCGGCTCCGGCAGGAGCCCCAGCCACCACACAGCCCTCGCAGCCCCGTAAGCCACAGAGGCACCTGGACAGCCTCACCTCTCCACCGGATAGCGAGGCCTACTATGGTGAGACTGACAGTGATGCAGACAACGTGGCCCAGGAGAAGCACCGCCGGGCCCGCAAGAAGTCCCCACGCTCCCCGCCAGACGGCACCAACAGCAAGGCAGATCTGCCCCAGGACGAGGTGTCCCTGTCTGAGCAGAGCGGCTATGAGAGCTTGCCGGAGGCTGCCATGCAGAAGGAAGCCAAGGAGGCCAGCTACAGTGGGGTGGCCAAGAGGGAGATTGCCTGTCCACCCGGCAGCCGTGCAGACACCCCTTTCTCAGAGAGCGAGGGACAGTTGCGGCCGTCCTCAACAGAGGGTCGTGAGCCTTCTCCAGAGGCGATGCTCCTACCCCATGCCACCAAGGCTATCCGAGCAGAGCGCCATCTCATCCCCATGGTGGGGCCAGTGGAGCACCCAGTTGATGAAGATCTAACCACCACATATGCAGAGAAAGCCAAGCAGGCTAGTAAGTGCTTTGCACCTTGCCACTCATCCTTGCCCTTTTCCTATGCTTGATCTCCTTCTAAAATCCTCGTTCCTGCAAAGGTCAAGTGGGTTAGCTCCCCTAGCTTGTGAAGAAACCAAGTCGGCCCTGCAGAGATGGGAGCTTCCCATTGCACATTTGCCACTGGGGTCTGGATCACCAAGGATGTCCCAAGCACTAGATGAGAAAAAGGGCCTAGGGTCCAGGAGTCACTTCTAGGACTCCAGCCATACAATCAGCGATGTAGCAGCTAAGGTAGAATCAATCCACTTGAAGTATTGGCAGCAAATATAGGTGAGAGCTGGTAAATCAGTTAATCTGGCAGCTCCTTGTAGGGTGGGTATCTCTTGAGACCTTTCCAGGTAGAATAAAACACTGAAAAATTTAGAGTGTTTCTTGGGTGATGGACCAGAAAGTGACCTCAGTTGAGAATATCTTTCCTGGTTTCTGCTATATATGGCATTTCAAACTCAAACATGATGACAGGGTAAGATGTTATTTGATTTCACAGTGGTGATCTAGCCAATAATATCAAATAAAAGGTAATAATATATATTTTTTTCATATGAGTATATCAGTCAAATGATTAACTTCTACTTCTCTGAGCCTAGAAATTAAGCAGGTTTCAAAAAACTGACTTAATTGTGGAACAGACTGGGAAACTGAGACATAGAAAAGTTATTAGACCGAATCAGAGATAAAACACACACTAGACATCTTTTCCCCAGACCAGATAATATTTCAAAGCTATTGTTACACCACTCTTCCCTCTTTTTCTTGGTCCTTTAGAGGTATCTGTCAAATCGAGGCTGTATCTACTCTACTCTGTGTTGAGGACAGACTCAGTTGAGTGCTTTATGTCAGGCCCTGCTTGGCAGTACAACTGACTTGATGCCTTGTAGTAGTTCTTCCTAGTCTATAACATTCACTTTCCCTAGAAGAGCAAAGAAATCAGCAGTTTCAGACTCTCTGACGATGAAGCTATTTTTTCCCCATTTGAATAATGTACAAGCATGAGGTGAATGGTGAGAAAGGCATGTTCAGCTGCTCCCTGCCATCTGATAGTCCTAGCAGTGGATGAGCAAATGCTTTACATCAAGGCTTATTTCCATGGATAGTATCAGCACACCAGGCTCCCAGGAAACCCAGGTATTTAATGCAGAACATTTCTGATGGCAAAATAATACTCCATGGCAGAAGGTGATGCAACTGCACTGCCAGCGAGAGGTAGGGCTCCTAGAAATATTAGAGGCTGAGATGGTATTTTATTCTCGTATTACTCTTTCCACCCCTCATCCCCCTTCTGGATCATCTTTGGCTACGAGTGTCCTTATGTAAGAGTTGTTCTGCCATGGATTGCAATTCACAAGGCCAGCTTGGGTTTTTCTTGAGTTAGGAATCTTGGCAGTAAATGTGAGGGTAAAACTCTGTCTTGATTATGCTGGATTACAGTAGCCATTAAAAAAAAAATTGTGGGACTGCAGAGAGGCACTGATTCCTGCAAAGGGGCTGCTTGTAGAGATGCCATATCCATTGGAGGTACCGCAGCCACTGCCAGAAAGATGCAGCCTTGCAAGGATATTTGTACATGAATTGGCTTAGCTCCTACGCTTGCTCCAGGCTCTTATGGAGCCAGAGCCAGAGCCAGATGAGTTTAAAGCTCTGTTTCTCTGCTGTCTCTTAGCAGTACACAAAGCACAGTAACCTACTCTGGGACAAGGGGACTTCCAGCTTTTGCCAAACCAGAACACAAAATCAAGCTCATGGCTTAGAAGCTAAACAACTTTTTAAAAGCAGAGTTATGAAGAGTAGCTGACTTAGATGATCAATCACAGGAGCCTAGAGCTTGATACAGACACAGGAGACATTTAAAGACCATTCTGACTACCTAATCAGATGTTTGCCTTTTGGTGCACACCCTCCTCGCTTTGGCCTGACCATCCAGGCTGGATGTGTCTCTGAGCAGCCTGCTCTAGTAGTTGGTGACCCTGCCCATGGCAGGGGGGTTGAAATTATATGATCTTTATGGTCCTTTTCAACTCAGGCCATTCTATGATTCTATGACCTTCACTTTTGTTATGGCTTCCACCACTACGCTGTAAGAATAACTCTTTTTTCTTTTTTTGAACTGTCAACCAACTGGTTCCTCACCTTTTTTTTCTAGAATGTACTCATACAGCTTTCTCATGCTTGCTGTGATGTTTTCTCCAATTTGGTTTTTCTTTTTTTTTTCTATTTGTATTCATTCTTTTTAACTTTCACTGTCATTCTTAAGCTGCATTCTCCCTTTCTTATCTCTTCCTGTACCTCAGGCAAGCAGCACTGCAGATTTCTGATCTGGACTGATTGCATACTCAAGAACATTAGCGAAACTATAAAATGCTTCCCATATTCCCCTCATTCTCTTTCCTACCCTTATCATGAAAGATTACCAGTCTTTATTCTGTGGTTGTTACTGGTTCATTTTCTGTTAATTTTCACATTTTTTCAGCACACACTTTTTTGCATCAAATTTACCAACTTTTGACAACCACAGTTTATTTCCCTGCTGAGTTGTTATAAATCATCTGGCAATTGCCAGAGGTGACACTGCTGTCTGATGCCTGCTTTGAACAGCAGTAACACAAAACAAATGTAGCTCACTTACTCACCGTAGCCAACAGTTTGACCCCAGGAGCAGAACATAGCGTAGTGGCAATTAGAAACAGCCTGAACAAAGATTTGGCAAAGGATGAGATGGAATAAAGGAAGCACACTGGGGGGGGGCGGGGGCAGCAGCTACTGGTGCCATCTTAGGATACCCTGTGTATTGTCAGCTGCTGTGTTGTAGCTCTCCTTTCCCAGCAAAGGTGTAAGGGCTTAGAATCTTTTCGGGCAACAGGTTTGAGCCTGTCTCTTTTCAAAGTTCTTGTCCTATCACACTTTGCATATTGTGACTGACCCAGTTTTTTCCCAAAGTCTGGAATAAGCACCTGTATCATCCCAGCTCCCCAGAGGACACACAGCTCAGACACGCCTGCTCAAAACTCACTCAGAGTATTGCTGATGTAGACTGGTGGGGTAGAGTGGGGAGCCACATACCCTCAAAGTGTGAGGAACTTGCCCTACAAATAATAAGACTTAAATTTTCACTGCTACCCAGTGGCTACTGTGCACCCTTACGCTTTGCTCAGGAGAGCAAGAGAACAACCAGCAAATGGAGACTCTTTGCTGTACTTCAAATGAACTACAGGAGGGCATTCATACTTGTAAATAACCAGCATGTTGCCTAATCTGGATAAACAAAAGTGGAAATTTGTTTATTTTTCACTAAAGAAGAAATTTTCTCATTTTAAATAAATTAATCCTTGGAGAAACTGGGTATCTTTAGGATCTCCATTTATCCTCATTGTAATGGGCCAGTCCAAATTCTGCCTGATATGATTTCTGTGCTGTTTGGATAATGCAAAAAGAAAGGAAGATATAACTGGGCTTGGGATCATTCTGTAGCCAGAGCTGCCTCTCCTCTCTCAGGTACACTGTATTCTCACCCTCAATCTTCATTTGTCTCCCAGGTGCAATGGGTCAGGCTTTCTCCTAACAGCAGATACCAGTTGCTGTCAGAAGACAAGCATACCAGGACAGCAGTCTGGTCCTAACTTGCTATCTCATAGGAATTTATGTCAGTGCAAGAAGTGCTTCAAAATATCTCAATTTAAGCTTATCCACTGGACTATTTTTAATTCCTAGGACTCAAGAGCCTTTCCATATACGGCAGGGGAAGGGAGGGAAGAATGGGTGGGGAAATTTCCTCTTCTGCTTTATATGGGCCTGACTGCAGGAGCAGATTCATCAAAGTTGTTACATTCTGTATCAGAAAAGGAAATTGTTCTTGTTTGAAGCGGATGTACAGCAGCATCACTTGATGAGATAGGATGCTTATTTATAAGTTGCCTGTTCATTGGAGGGTCTTACAGATTACCTCTGCTAACAGCGTAGTCGCATTTCTCTGCAGAGAGTGTGAGAGCAACAAGCCAGCTATCAGCCTATTATAACGCATATGGGTCACAGGAGTTGTGAAGAAGATAAAGTATCTGAATGGCAGTTTGAACTTATTGCACCACATTTTCTACTTGGCTTTCTCCTTCAACAGCTGTGACTGATAATTGCAGTTACATGGTTGGTAGGCTAGCTTAATCATTTTGCAACTCTCTGCAGTGTAGGAGACCCAAAAGTTTAGGTCTCTGTCCTTTCTGCTTAGAAATAGAGCAGAAAAACATTTTACTTGGCCCAGGAGCTTAAAATTGATCACCTGAACTAATGATACATTTTTTTCTGGAATAAGCACCTGTATCATATACTGATCTTACAGGAAGTTTGCTCCTTGCAGTATGAAGCAATGTTGAACAGCCCTTGGCCCTGGTGCCCAGTAAGCAGCCAACCACTAGGGAAACAAGGACAACAACCTCCATGGGTGAATCACTGATGAAGGGTCTGATCTCACTTCATCATGCACTGACCTGGGAATTGCCTTCACTAGGGAAAGCAATTTACATACACTGGTGTATGCAATCTAGTCATATGCCTTTGCTGCCTTTGCTTATGAATCTCTCAGTATTAACATTCTTTTTTTTTTTTTTTTTGCTTCAGATGTATTTATTAACAAAGACAGAAGTGAGAGAAATGCTGTGCATCTGGAACACTTTTTATCCAGCTTTAGGTTTGAGTATGGCATTTGAGCTTACACCTTTGGCTTATATTCTTCCACCACAAGCACAGAGGTGTTATTTTCATGGTTGATGTAATAGCTGCTTGGGCAGACAGAAATTGCCCGATAATTGCTAGGTTCCAGGATTTTAAGAGTTGAATTGGAAGAAATTATAATGCAAACAGACAACAAGAATCCCTCTTCCTGTCCAATGTTGTTTCCATCAGATCTGAAGTTACATGGGACTCGCTGAAAACATGGGGACAAGTAGGCAAAATTACTCAGTGGCAACAGA